GAGCTCTTCATATCTTTTAGCAACAGCTGATAAAATCTGTTCACGCTGACGGAGCAGACGTATGGGATCCAGCAGCCAGCTGTGTTTGTAGCTGCTGCTCTAGTGAGGAACCGGTAGCTGAACATGCCCCATGAAGCCCACCTCACCTGAAGGACATGGAGAACCACACGGCCATCATCATGTAGGTGGTGCGGCGATACTCGGGCGAGAAGACGGTCTGGAAGTTACTCCACACCTGAAGAAAACACAGAGACACAGCGGACACACAGAATAATATACATGAAGCACAGCCAGATAAAAGCAGTAAATAAACAACAGAAGGCGTCTGTAAGAAGCAAACACCACGTCCCAGAAGCTCTGTGCAGGTGAAGAGCCAACAGACCCACACAAATAAACACACAGAGACGAGATCACCACAGAAATAAGCCTCCTGCTTCTACCAACCACACTTCATTAGAAATGCATTATAACAACACAGCGGCTGCATCAGTCCTGATCAATGCTTGTTATTGATAAACCCTGAGGACCTTCTATATATAGAAACTCCTGCTTTATGGAAACAGTTGATCATCCTGGGATCTGCTCCTTCTGTCAGCAGATCGATATCCGTCCTCTGGATCTGGACCAGGACAAGACTGCTGCCTCACCTCAAAGGCCTGAAGGAGACGTCAACATGGAGCCCGGCTCTGCTCAGCGTTCAAAACCAACAATCAACAAGTTTGTTGTTGTCGATGTAAACACATAAAAAAATGACCCGGTGTTGCTGAGCGAGGCTGTTCTCGTGTCACTGGTCTGAGCCTCCTGGACTCGACAGACTCGAGGCTGTTCTCGTGTCACTGGTCTGAGCCTCCTGGACTCGACAGACTCGAGGCTGTTCTCGGGTCACTGGTCTGAGCCTCCTGGACTCGACAGACTCGAGGCTGTTCTCACGTCACTGGTCTGAGCCTCCTGGACTCGACAGACTCGAGGGAAGGACCTGAGGACGTACAGACTTGTGTTCACTTTTATTAAAACCTGTTGTAATCCGTATTAGTTGGCTTGAGGCTCAGAGTCAGGACGTTCTGGTTCCGTTCTGGTTTTACAGGATCCGTTGTGAGTCATTAAGTGTTCTGTACCTGCTGATGCTGAGTCATCAGTCCAACACGTTTCCATGACAACACACACTTCAGGTATAACAGATCAGCTGTAGGACCTGGTACCTGGTGGAGCATCTCACTGTCTAATACTGCAGCAACCAGAGGAGCTGTCCAGTTCTATGCTGGCAGCAGAAAGCATTGTGGGAGTTTAGCTGGTAAAGGAGTCCTCTATAGCACCTGATGACGTCCATTAAACCAACATGGGGTCAGCCCGGATAGAGCTCCTGTATCCCAGGGGCAGGTGCCACAGCTACATCTGAGGCATTTATCAAGATTATTTTTAAATGTAGGACACCAGCAGAAGTAGACAAAAGGTTGGCATGAGATCTGTGAGGATGTCCGTCAGCTAAAGTTTGGCTTCATTGGCCCTGATCCTGATGTTTAGACCAGGTTTGGACATCCCCGTCCCGTGTTTTGCCTCTTTTCTCTTGACCATCTCAACAGGAGGCGTTCCAACATAACAACACAGTAAATGTAAAAAACCAAACCTGGTGGAAGAGCGAGGTGAGCTTTACTCTCCATTTCTCGTGCCAGGCAGCGTTGTCGCCCAGGTTCACCAGCTCATCCAGCTGCTTCACCGTTTTGATGGTGGTCACCTGGAGGAACAGGACCGTCACTGAACAGCTTCAGATCTGAGCTCTTCTTCTGGACACGTGTCTCTGATATTCACTGATGTCTACATTATGAAACTACAGCGTTAAACATTTAAATATTACTCTTCATGCATATTATTATGACTCATGTCCTGCCATTAATTCTATTATTTATGAAACACAGGCAGCTGCTATTATTAATTTTACTTATTAATGCAGTAAGAGGAGGTTATGGGATATCTTTATGGCACCACATGTCAGTATCACTGTGAACTGTGTAGCTCGAGGCATGAAGAGATTACAGGAGTTTAAAGCACATCTGTTTTAACTCATTAATATGCAAAATTATGCAGCACAGAGCTCTAAACCTGCTGCACTGAGTGAGCCCACACTCTGAACACACACTATGCTGCTTTGTGCACACACACAGCACCAGTGGATTAGAAAGGCTGAATGTTCTGCAGCGTAACTCACAGAGAAGACCCGCTCTGGGTAGCCCTTCGCCCTCATGTTGGTGTCGTGGACCTGCTTCAGGATCATCCACGCCTCGTCATGCTTCCCGTTCTGGAGGAGGAACACAACGCATTTAGGTGTGAGCGAGTGTTGGTGTTGGGTCAGGTGGAGCGATGCTGGAGCAGCGCCGTCATCCTCAAGGTTCTTCAGTCAGACTCCAGCAGGACTCCAGTCGGATCCACTGTGAAACTCTGTGTGTTGTGTTCAATCATCAGATGTTATGAAAGGATCAAGAAACAGACGTGACAGCAGCGACACTCTGACGCACATCTGGAGACATCAGACACGTAGATAACAATAACAGATAATAAGAAGTCAGTCTGAAAACACTGGCAGAGCTCAGTGACGTCCCATCCACCCATCTGTCACTGCAGGTAACCGACTTCAGAACCACATCCTCTGCTCACTCACATGTCCTGGTTTTATTCGTTGTGTGCCGTCTCTGATCTCAGAGGACTTTGTGGTTAAACAACATTTTAATAAAATGAAGTAAAGGTTAATTCTTTCATGTTAAACTGCGGTTGTGACTGTTCTGAACAAAGCTGCATCTTCAGCCAATGACTGCGTGATGTCCTCTGACTTTAGGAGGATTCAAAGTGTGTGTGAGGTGGTTGTGTGGGACTAGATCTGCTCAGGTGGGACTAGATCTGCTCAGGTGGGACTAGATCTGCTCAGGTGGGACTAGATCTGCTCAGGTGGTGCAGCGGGTTGTCCACTAATCATAAGGTTGCCGGTTCGATCCCACATGGGCCAGACACTGAACCTGAAGGTGGTTTGATGTCAGGCAGCTCCTTGCATGGTGCTCCAGTGTGTTAATGTGTTTGTCAGTATTTTCTTTAGCGTCTCATCTGCTGCTGCTGGAAACCTCAAACCCTATAATTACCTCCATTTGTTTTTATTGTAGGTTTTATGTTAATGTGGAACAACACGAGGCCTGAGTGCTGACTGGTTTTATCAAGTCGTTTTTATAAGTGATGATGGGAAATGTCATGAACTTCATTCATTCAGTGTCATTTTTTTAAAATTCAGTTTTTGCCCAGAGTTACTTCAGTATTACCTGTTGGCTCATCTTTCCTTTGAGTTAATGTTCCTGTCGTGAGTGTTCACCGTAGGAGTGCAATCACTTACTTATTAGACTCGAGCTGTGAGCTTTTAATGACATCAGTGAGACTGTAAATGGACTAATATATTGCTAATATATTATTAATATCAGCAACACATTTTCACTAAACCTGAATGTTTGTCTGCATCAAGGACGTCTGCATGTCTGAATGAGAGACACACCGCTAAGGCAGCAACTAGAATAAAAGAAATCAGTAATATAAACAGAGAAATAATATTATTTAACTATCTAACTATTAAACGTGTTCCAGTTCTACACACCATGAAGCCGCCTGTGTTTTCAGAACACAGCCGGCATTAAATGAAGTTATCAGCTGACAGAACGGTACATTTTAATGTTATATATATATTAATGTTAATTAAACCAGAACTTTATTTATTATATTCCAGTTGGGAAAACAAGCGTCAAACAGAAGTTTTGAGGACGTCTAACACAATAAATCTGTTCTGTTACCTGGGTGTCATCACATCCTCGTGAGTTTAACATCATATGTTGAGTTTAAAGATAAAATAACATGTGCATTAGTAACATGGATGATCTTGCCTCGTTTTCTGTTCAAAATGTTCTGCAGAGGAATGAAAAGCGTCAGCAGGACCTGATGAATGGGCGCTACCCTGGTGCTCGGCCTGCTGCAAGATGTTTACATGTGCATATTAATGTAGTCATTCAACATATTCTGGAAAGAGAAGCATTTGTCTGCAGCCCCTGACGCTTGTGATGCACCGACGCCTGCTGTTTAAGGCTGTTTATGCATGTGTTCAAGGTCTGAGTGTGGTGCGAGCTGACGGGCAGCCGACCTCCAGGAAGAAGCGGGGGCTCTCAGGCATGGTGGTGAGGGCAGAGATGGCCGCCACGGAGGGGAAGGCACACACCAGCACGAAGACACGCCAGCTGTGGAACTGGTAGGCCGAGCCCATCTGGAAGCTCCAGCCTGCACCAGGAGACAGAGAGAGGAGATGAGAGCATGAGAGGCTTCCTCTGGTGATGCTGTACAGGTCTGGTAGCACACGCTTCGTCCTGCAGTGATCGGTGGTCAGAGGGGCTCTGATCAGCTGGATCCTCTCCTTTGACCACTGCAGTTCATTTAGAGTGACTTCTGTGGTTCAGAGGAATCACTGATCGCGTTAGTCCCGACTATAACCCAGAAACATTCATACGCAGACTGTGATTTACAGTGAATTTTTATTTAAACAGGTTTCTTCCAGCCGGAATATAAAAAAGAAATGAAAAAATATAGAAAAGAAATGCCGATACAAAACCACTCCTCCCGTGTCTCATTAGGGGCTGCAGGTGTACACAGCTGGACGGTCGCCGGTACAAACAGTTCACATTCATCCTTAACACCACGTCTTACCATCTTCTTGTCATTCTTTAGATCATTACCAGCCAGAAGAGTCCTATTAGTGAAATAATGATTCACTGTAAATCTGCATTTGGCACGGCTGTGAAAACTGTGGTGCTGACCAGACGTATTGTCTCTCTTAATGATAATGATGTGAAGCTGCTCTTCTCACCGTAGTGTGGGATGATGGCCCAGGCCATGGCGGAGGCGTAGATCCCGCCGATCATCCAGAACATGCAGAGCCAGCTCAGATGCTCTCCTCGCTTCTCCTGGGCCAGGAACTCCGAGTAATAAGAAAACACGATGGGGATGGAGCCGCCGATGCTGTTAAAGGCGTGAAAGGATGAAAAGAGGAAGGAAAATGAAATGACGAGCAGGAGGAGGAATCTGCATTGGAGGAGCAGCAAACGGTGGAGAAGATAAGGAAGAGAAGGAACAGACTGCTGTGTGCAGACTCACAGTGTGATCGTTGTTCACTCTGTACCGTCTGTAGGTACATTCATAGTCTGTGTGACTGCTGATGAGTGAATAAAGGTTTTAAATTCAAATTCAGTCCTACTCTGCTTTCAACTCTTGAGTGCTTTCAGTAGGACACAACTGCAGATGTTACAAGACTAAAGTCACATGCTTGTGGTTCATGTTGTTGGCTTTTATTTTGTTGGATCGCACTTCCTGTTTGGTTGTTTGTGCAGGAAGTGTTTGTTTTTGCTGCATCGCTGCACTGAATGATCTACAAGTCCATCCAGTGGCCAAACTGAAAACCCAGAATGAACTGGAAGGTTTTGGGCTGCTTCATTCAGGTTAGAAAAATCCATTTCATTTCCTGCCCTCGGACACATTTAGCCTCAAACAGGTGATAAGGTTCCATTCACCAGGTTGTTCCTGTTCTCGCATCAGTTCACGGTGCACACATCTTTATGTAAAACACAAACGACACGCACAGGGCAACAACTGGAAACACAGTAAAATATAAGCATGGATCTGATGTCACAATAAACTCGGTGGTTGTCTGAGATCCTAACTCACATTATAAGGGTGCTGAACAGGAAAGGCCCGACCCGTCTGAGGGACTGTGTCGTCTGGTAGAAACGTTCTGAGGGTTTCAAAATAAAGCTCCTGTAATGTTTTTATTAGACTGCACACGTCTGAAGCATCTACTGAACATATTCCCTGGAATCGCCCCAGAATGCATGTCTGGAAACACAGCGCCTGAGACTCAAAGGTCCACCGTGTTCTGGACCGGTTCTGTTTGGGGGAATGTTCTTGTCTCGTCCCTCAACAACACAGTGTTCATGTAGAATGTTTCTGCTGAATCCAGACAAACTCATGTTCGGCCGCCGTGTGTCCAGCCTGGTGAAGGTCAGGTCTGAATGCCAGACGGCCACAGAGCTGCCATTTCACTGGCATTTGGCCACCAGTGTTCACACAGGCAGAAATCCTCTGAATAGCCTCAACAGATGCATTCAGATGAGGAGCACAACCACCATCACAGCTTCTCTACGAGCCGGCCGAGTTGTGACGTACGGATTCCTAACTGTAATCAGTAACAGCTCATTATGGCTCATTGTTTCTAAGCTGTTGACTCAAGTGTATGAAATTATTCTTAAAAGTGCCTCCAGACAAATTGTAGCAGCCAAAAGCCCGGTCCAGCAGCTCTATGCAGCCCCTGACCTGCATCGTACACAGAAGACCCTCTGATGGAGGGTTTCCTTCCCTGAACAGCACCATAGCTGCAGCATGTCTATTCGCTCTGTGACGTGGCGTCGCTCTGCTCGTCACGTTAGCTGATGCGCCACAGCCGTCGTGACCGTCTCATTTCCAGCTCCGGCTGCTGCCGTTGCCTGTGTGACTCATCCGTCTGCTTACCCCACACCAGAGGCCAGGCGGCAGAAGAGGAACGAGCTGTAGCCCTGGACGAAGGACGAGAAGAAGGCAAACACGCTGTTGATGGAGAGGGAGATGAGGAGGGTCTGCCGCCGGCCGATCCGGTCAGCCAGGCCGCCCCACACGAAGGCTCCGACCATCATCCCCAGGTACACGATCAGACCTGGAGGCAGGAGGAGGAGGAATCAGAGTAACGTCAGGGGAATGTGATGGGAAGAGATAATGAGAGGAGAACAGAGGCAGACGCTTTGATAATGACTTATTATTCATCAGTAAACTCTACTTCCAGCCTTCTCTTCCACCCTCATTAGACTTCAGCGCCCAGGAAATTAGCTCCTTTCACAGCCTGATTGGATGCTGAAGTGTTTCCCCATGAAGCAGAGTAAAAGAGAGCATCAGAACAACCCTGCAGAGAGGGCAGGGTCAAGGTTTACACCTCAAGGGTCATCTTTTATAAAAATACAACCATGACACCAGAAATAATCTGGATTGTACAAAGAAAAACCCAGTGAAGGCCAGAATGGCTGGAAACAGCTGAGTGTCTCTGGACGTCTGCTGTGAAGCCAGAGTGAGAGACTTTCACACACACCGCCGATCAGCTGAAGCCTCCACAGACCTGGTTCCTCCACAGACCTGGTTCCTCCACAGACCTGGTTCCTCCACAGACCTGGTTCCTCCTGTCATGTTCCCACATGACGCACCAGAAGCATGCATTTAACGGTGGATGGACGGAGACAGAGCAGGTTACAGCAACGACTAAAACGGTCGAGACAACGAAGGAAAGACCTGGAGAGCTTCCACGAACAGGTTCTGACACTACAGATAAAACAGAAGCTTGGGTGGATGGATTATAGTGTGAAAATATCAGCAGTCAACAGCCAAGCATACAACAGACGTGTGACCCTGTTTGTGTAATTACTCTCATTGCCAGAAGGGGGAGACAAAGGGCCTGCAGGTTTAAAGAAAACGTTTCTAGCACATGTGACCACTAGATGAGAAGGTTTATACTTGTACCTGTGGACCAGGTTCTGTCCCATTAGAACAGGACTATAGAGCCAGGCTCAGGTAATCTGATGTCAGTGCATCTGGAGCTTCCATCTAGAACAAATGAGAAACAACCGGCTGCTCATTTCTAAGCTTCACCTTCACCTTCGTCTTCCACAACATGAAACTGTTCTTTTGCACAATTGGAAGAAAAAATAACTCCTACCCTCCTTCAACTCCTGCTTTATGTTTAACATCCTTCTGATAAACAGTACAGCCTGAACATCATGAAAAGACTTTTCTGCTCTGCGTCAGGAACCTGGAGCAGCCAGCAGCAGGCCGACAGCAGCTTTGTGAAGCCGGTCTTGTGATCTCAGGTGCTAACACGACTCTCTTTCCTGCACTCATCCAAGGCTGCCTCCTGCTGATTGCCTGTCAAGCTCCGTTTCTCTCTGCGCCACCGATGATGCTCCCACACATACACCAGTTGCTCGTTTGCAATCAGCGCCGTATTGACATCCTGTCAGCAGTTTTCGCGCTTCCCGAGCCTCCAGCGACACGAGTTATTGGTGAGATCGCTCTGAATGAATAAGGAGGACAAAGGAGGCCAGAGCACAGAGCCTGAGTGTTGGAGCAGCGTTTGGAGCTCGTGATCACTTTAAGGTAAAAAAAAAAGACCTTCCATCGATGGTATGTTGTTTATGTCCAGCATGAAGCTCTGGTACATCCACCCTCTGCTCAGAAGACCAACACACTCCACTGTCTGATGGCTCATTAAACTCAGTCAATAGAGTTGATTTCAAATCAATTCTTGCCAATAAGACATTTAAACGTCTCTGATCCTGGAGGTAGATTTGTGATATTTAGCTCGTTAGCATGTGCCAGAGTGACCGTCCTGCTCGTGCATGAGCACACTGTTGATGCTGCAGAAACACAGCCGTGATCGTAGAGTCCTGCTGAGTCAGCATCGTTCACCACAGGACCAATCAGTGGTCGACCTCTGCACTGCTTCATACCTCGATCGGCTTGCTGGAGGACTGCATGCAAGCATCTCTCCATGGCCTCTGCATTGGTTGAATTCCTATAATCCAATGGAGACCAAGGCCTTAAGTCAACCTAAATAATGCTGAACTTCTGGCCGTCAACACAGTGATGATGGACGACTAACGGACGGACCTCGGAGGAGCCTGGAGGAACTAAAGCACAGTCTCTTGTAGTTTGAGCTGTGGGTGATGGTGATGATATCCTCAGCCTCCACCTGAGTGTCAGACGACGGGTGTGCAGAGTTGTTCCTCGCTCAGACTCCACGAGACAGAAGGCATGACGGGTCAGTAGAGACCACGAGTCTGAAGAAAATCTACACATTTGTCTGTTATTGCTCAACACTGTGTGAACACCCAGGAAACATCCATCCATCCATCATCTCTACACCTTCATCCTCACCAGGGTCATGGGGGGCGGAGTCTATCCCAGCTGACTCAGGGTGAAGGCAGGTTCACCTGGACAGGTAACCAGTCTATCACAGGGCTACACTTAGAGACAGACAACCAAGCACACTCACATTCACACCTACGGACAATTTACAATCACCAATTAACCTCAGCATGTTTGTGGACTGTGGGAGGAAGCCGGAGAACCCGGAGAGAACCCACGCTGCACGGGGAGAACATGGAGACTCCACGCAGAAAGATCCCGGGTGTCCTCACTGGGACGCCAACCGGTGACCTTCTAGCTGTGAGGCCACGGTGCTAACCACCGAGACACCTGCTGCCACCCTAAGAAACAAACTGATTACAAATATTTCAGTTTTAAATTCTCAACCTTTTCATTATTTTGGCTAAAATCTCATTGCATGCATTGATCTGAGCAGGACCACAGAATGATCAACCCGTTTAGAGAGGGCTGCCCAGGACGGAGCTTCATCATTCACTCTTCATTTTGCTGTAACAACGAGCTGACAGCACACTGAGTCCAGCAGCAGTAATGAAGGCCCAAACCCGACTCCACACAGCGCCACGTGTAGGATTGTCTGTCTGCAAACGATAAAATAAAAACGACCTCGGGCCTGGCTTTATGTTGGTAAGTGGTGCAGGAGCCAGACAGATGAGGCATTGTGGGATCAATTAGGCGGGAAAACAGAGGAAGCAGCCCACGTTGGCTTTAAACGGATCTGTTGGATCAGCTACGATGATCCATCACACAGCCGAACCAGCAAACTGCTGAGACGATGTTTCACTGGGCTCACAGCACCGAGGCAGAACAGCCAGGGTTAGGGCTAGCAGAGAGGCTCCTGACTGCAGTCACATGAGGAGGGATGCCCTTTTCCTGTAGATGAAAGACCTCTGAAGCACTGATGAAGGTGTGTGTGTGACTCACTGCCTCCGTCTGTGTATTTGGGGAGTAAACACTGCAGCGCTGAAATGGGAAGAAGGTGACTTTAACCTTCTTGTTTGATTGATTACACGGATCCTCTGAGCACATACAGTCTGTGTTTCCATGAGCACAGGTATAGAAGTACTTATATATGTGTGTGTGTGTGTGTTTCCACTGAGGCAGGGCAGAGAACTGCTTCTCCTGACAACACAGATCTCACAGAGCCACGGTGGTGACTGGGCTCAGGAGCCGCAATGCAGCAGCATGAAGGTAGACGAGGAACAGACAGAGAGACAAGCGACCAGTTCTACAGTCAGCATCTCTTCTTAAAGCTCCGGCTGGAGAGTCCTGCTGAGCCGACCCGTCGCCCCCTCACCACTCACTGGATCATTATCTCTGCTGCTGTCATCGCCGGCGGCCGCCTCGGGTTGGTCTGTCTGTGGCTGCAGTGCATCAGCAGCTGCGCTCGCCTCGACGATAGTTCACGTTCTGAATTATCTCGTTCACCTGAAGGACAAAATAACTGATCTAACATCAAGACGAGGCTGGACAGAGAGCCACACCTCGCTGTCATCAGCATTTCAGAGCTTTGCAGTTTGTCCCGTCGTTCAATAAAACCTTTCAACAAATCCCCAAAGATAAATGCCAAGTTTACCACAATTCTGATTTTCACACATTTCTTATACATACATAAAATGCAATACTCTTATATTTAAAATGGGAGAATGTGTGCTGTCTATCGGGTCAGTGGATTTACAGCCGGTACCACTATCACTGCTCCAACGGGTCACAGCACGGAGCTGTTCTCAGTTACCAGCAGATCCTTTACTGAAGCTAAAGTACCAATACAATCATGTAAAAATACTCAATTACATGTAAAAGTACTGCATGAAAAATCCTCCGACATAAAGAAGAAGCAGCAAACTGCAGCGACAGGAAGAACGTTAAAGTACAAGTCTGGTCAGTCTGATGTACTGTAAGACAACAGATCACCAACAGTGAGACATCAGTGTGTCAAACACCTGAGGGCTCCAAACATGATCAGTGGAAGAGGAAAAAAGAATAAAAAATCTGTTTTCAATTTGTATCTAACATTTGATTTTTGTTTAGTTATTGGATCATTTGAACATGTCTGTGAGCGGGAAACATCTCCCCGACCTCTGAAACGTGAGCCCAAGAAGCCAAAAACGTCGGAAACCGCCGGTTCAGTCTTCAGCTACGTGTTGCAGCCACTGTGTGAAACCCTCGTCTTAAAACAGCCGCCAGATGAATGTGGTGGAGCAGAACACTGATATATTTCATTAAAAGGAAAACACTCATGCACAGTGCTTCAGGGAAGGTCCTTCCCACCGCTATGTGCTGCACTGCAGGTCCACAAACATACAGGAGAAACGCTGGCTGGGGAGCACACAGGAACATTAGCAGCATCATCCAGGAGGCGGCGTAGACCAGAACCTGAGCTACAAGAGGGCTGATACTGGCCGTACATGTGCCCAAATGGGCCAAAACAGAACTCTGAATGAAGGACAGCGTTGCTCCATGTGTGCTGGATGTCAACAGGAGCAACTATTTTCCAAAACACAGTTGATCAGCTGTTGATGAAAAGCTGATGATGTGTCAGATTGTATCTGTGGCGGGTTTGTGCAGTCTGAGCAGTGATTGGTCCACAAGGCGGCGCAGTGACGAGAAAAAACAGAAAAGTTATTAATGATGAGGAGTAAAGAACATACGAGCTGTTTCTGTAGAAGAGCGAGTGTGTGTTCATACATCTACAGTAAATGTTTTACAGATTGTCCACGGTGCTGC